GCTCGTAGTGGCCTAGTACGTAGATGGCGCTGCTCCTAATTACTAACATCTTGCTGAGTAACTGGGGGATCTCCCAAGGAAGAAGGTACGAACTGAGGTGTGGAGGCGATGTCAAACTCTGGTGTGAAGTGTCTTTGAGAGGGACCAAGATCGGGATAGGACGATGGGCCAGCATCATATGGATCTGTAGTCGGAACGGGTGGACTAAACGATGTATGCTGAGCATCTGCCTCCACAAAATAATAAGCATCGTCAATGTATATCTGCTGTCGCAATCTTTGGCACATATCTCCAACAATATTCACATCCAACTGCAAAGGTGTCGCCTCAGTACCTCCGAAATATGGTTGCAATCTCCTCTCCATGCTCACAAAGAAATCTAGCTGCAAAGATAAGTAATTAAGCTGAAATTTATCATATAATTATATTTAATTCTTCTTACATAACTTAAACTTACCATATGACGTTCAGCTGGTAATCTTGGATAGTATGTACTGGGAGGATCCACTGGGGCCTTTAGCATGTATAGTGTAGCCAAAGAATGAAATCATGCTAAGTACTGCTTCACTTTATAATCATAATCCAACCCAGGAATCTCCGCTGTAACAATGTATGCTCTCCTGCTCTCCCACAATGCAATACTGGCCTGGTGATAAAATGCCCAATCTGTATCTGACTTACCACGCCCATCAACTCTGACAAAACTAGGATCCATTGGCATGATATCGGTGGATGGGCAATATCCAAACTGCCGTAGTACTCGATCAGGGAGATGTCACTCAACCCTTTTCCAACTGATCAAAGGAACTCTGGACAGCCAAGTGTCCTGACTTGAAGTGCATATCTCTGGAACCTGTGCACGAATCTCAACATTGTATGGTTCCCATATTACCTGTACCATTATACATATAACAATTTAATCTTCATAATATTGAACTAATATGAATAAAATGTGGCAATATAATTTTCATTTACTAACCTGACCCTCTAGTAAGCCATCAAGCTCATCCCTGTATGCAACGGCGGAGGGAGGCGGGGTCCCGCGGGGGCACGTGCCCCCTCCGCAAAAACAAAAAAAAATCATTTATGCCTGCTTACGGTTCTGCGTTTTGGCAAGTTTGACAATATTCGCTTGCCCTAAATATCCCGCCTCCCTCCGCCGTTATTAGAAACTCTTGTGCGGCACAGAAGTTATCGTCTCGTCGCTTCTTCCTTCGGCTTCCAACATTGCGTCCAACCAGTAGTGATAGCTTTTCGATTTCGCGAATGAAGGTCTCTAAACGATGCATCTGTCCGGCAGCTCGTACCCGTGCATTCGTTTAGTTCTTCCTTCTTTGATCCGGCAATGAGCTGTCCATCCATGAAGCCCTGAAGGTAAGATCCGGCATTTGGATTTCCTTTTCTATTTTCAGTTTTTAAGTCTCTGTTTTTTTCCTTGTGTTGTCCAGTTAGGTCTGTTTTTTTCGTTGTTGTCTGGTTAGGTTAAAAACAATTCGTTTGCTAATTTACAACAATCATGCTCAACCGCAATTTTTATTTGCCAGCCACCATTGTTTGCAATCGCCAGTCACACAAGTAAAAAATGTCTCTAAAGCAACGAAAGGTTTTTTTTTTCTTTTTTTTGCTCTTGAAGGCAACCAAGATAACTAAAGTACTTTTTATCTTTTCAAGTGTTTAGGACTGGGAGGAATCATCCGCACCCTAGCTCTTGCTATGAGATCACTCATCGCTGACAATAGTTTTGCAAGTTTTTCTTTTAGGTTTTGGGAAAAATTTTATTAAAAT